ATTTAAGGGGGAAATAGCCACACAATTTTAAAAATATGAGGCGATAAAATATGAATAAAAGGCTCTGGTGCATAGTGGAAGAGCCAATAGAAAATTCATAGAAGAAATGACCTTTGATCTGGGTTGTGAAGGACACATGAATATTTTTCAGGTGGGGATGAGAGAGAGGGCATTCCAGGAAGGAGAGCAGCCAGAGCAAAGGGACCAGGGCAGAGCTCTGCACGCTCCGTGAGGCGGGGTGTACGAGCGTTTGTGTGCGCCAGGGCGGGCATTGGGAACTGAGGAGCAGGGGATGGTCGGAGGTGGTTTTCAGGAGGAGGGCAGGGAGTATAAGAAGTTTCTTTAAATCTGTTACCGAAAGTGGGGTCTTGCTGCTCGCCACTCTAAAGCCAGCACTTGAGAGGCGAGGTTGGTGGAAAGGAAAGTTTGCTGTCTTCTGGAGACCAGTAGCTGGGGGTGGGGTGGGCTGGGGTGGGAAGGCTGAACTCATGTCCAAAGGCCAAATCCCCACTGACAATCAGTGGCTAAGAGCTTTTAAAGGGGAGTTTCAGGGGTATAGAGGTGGAGGGAAGAGGCTCCATGCAGAAACAGCAGTCAGCTCTGACAGTCATCTTGAAATTGGTCCTGCGGTGGTCTGACCAGCATCATCTTGATTGTTCTAAGCACAGTTAATCTTCAGTCCTAGGGTCAGTTTGTTCCCATTTCCTTCAGGCCAGTTCTCGGAACTGTGGCAGCTTATGTCATGGCTACAGACTGATCATCATGTAGTTAATTTCTTCCACCTGGTAGGGGTTTCAATATCTATAAGACAGCTCACGGGGTAGGGCTCAGAATATTACCTATAGCCCTTGAGGAGAAATTAAAGGTCCTTGACTTTGTTAATGACTGAACTATTATTATTATGTCCTGTTTGACTGCTTTCCTTTGCTTCTGTATTTTCCCACTTCTCTGATTAAAATTATTCTTTGGCTAAAGTTTTTCTACAGACAAAAAGGCAAGTGGAGGACATGGCAAGGAAGGACCACAGGGTCCTGCTCTGTTCCAGATTGAACCTAGTTTTATGACTGACATGTAAATCTTTTGTGTAGTTTCTCAAATCATGCTATGACTACTATGACTGCTACTGTTCCTACTGGCATAGAGCTAGTGTTTGTTGCTCTCTTACTAGGTCTGAAGTTGACTGTATTTTAGGGATTGTCTTACTTGATCCTACCGTCTCGATGAGTAGTTCTCCTATAATCCTCGTTTTATAAATGTTGTTCTCCATATTCTCACATGTTACTTTCTGTTCTGGCTAATATTCCAGATGCCTAAGAAGCTCATGTGTTTCTGTGTGACTGGCTTATGCCTTCAGTCATACAGTTTTTGTTCTTGTTTTTAATTTTTTTTTTAGAAGATCAAAAGCCCTGTTTTGAGGCAAAATGAAGTTGCCTGGCATGGTGTCCCCTTACATCTGTTGCTATACCACTGGATGTTTTGACCTCACCATTTTGACCCCTCTGTTTTGACTTTGGGAACACTTGTTCCTGCTCTTTTGACTCTGAGAACATTTTGAGTCCAAGACTTGTAATTAGAATCATATCAACTCAGATGGACTTTCCATTCAGAAAGTGTTTTCCGCAGTAAATTCCATTAAGCCAATTTAATCCCTTGATCAATTTTCTCCATAGCAGTTAAACCATTTCCAAAAATGTTAACTCTTACTAAAGTTATTTTCATTTGGATCAATTATTTTCCATTTAAAATTTGAAACAAAATTTGATGTATTGATTAGGCATTATCCAAGCAAATTTTATTGATTCTGGCTTCTACTTTGTGTAATAGTCCTTATTTCTATTAAGTCTATTTTTTTTCCTGGGTCAAAATATACAAATCTAATTTTTCTAAAAAACAAAATTTGATTCTTCTGTCAATTTGTAGTCAGTAACAAGTTGTGTTTTGTGGTTTTCACTGTTATCAGTTTTACTTAGCATTGATTATTTATACCAGTAATTTAAAAATCAACCCATCACAAACTGCATTAAAATAATGATGCTTTCTATTTCTTATTCACAAGAAATTGTGAAAAATGTTCTGTGCACATGTGTATGAAAGAAAAAAAGATTAAAGAGAGAGAGAGAGGAGAGAGAGGAACAGAGTATGAGGAGGACGAAAGAGACAGAGATAGAAATAGAGATGTAGAGAGAAAGACATAGATGGAAGTGAGACCTAGCAAATGAGAGAGGAAAAGAGAGTTTGAGAGGGAGATTGGTTGAGAGAGGGGAATGCTGTTTGCTAAGCTTTCAAAACTTTGTCAGAATTTAAATGTCCATGGGGGTCAAAATGTCAGGATATGAGAGCAGTGTTTGCTATTGATCAGTGATGGAGAGTAAGGTCATCCTGAGCAGAGGAGCTGAGGTCCTCATTAGCCTTAGGGAGGAGCATGGAGGAAAGGTCTGAAGCCAGCAAGAGTATCCAGAGAGCAGCATGCAAGGCACTGCTTGACAGCAGGGCTCTCCAGATTCACTACAAAAATATAGACTACTAGGCAATGCCAACCTGATATCCCAAATCACTTGAAATAACCTGCAGCTGAGAGTCATGGACTCCTGTTGTCTTTAGCATTTTCAAGATGAGAGGCCATTGGTGTGGATTTACACTGTATCTTACAAATCCAGTAGAAAAGAGGGCTGGTGCATTCCAGAACCTCATTTTCAATGACTATCCATTTCCTATTGGATGAAGTTCAACTTCTGTTAACACAGAATACTAGATCCTTCACAATCTGGTTGGTGTCCGCCTTGCAAGCATCCATGCCAGTGGACACTTCACTTAGGCTGCTCCGAATGTTTACTGTTCACAGAGCACTAGGATGTCTTCTTGTTCTCTCCATGTTAGTTTTGCCTGGAATTCCGTTTCCTGCTCTTCTGCCTGGAAAACTCATACATATCCTTCTGAGCCCTTCTTGAAGGGGTTCTTTCTTCTGTGAATTAGGTAGAGGGTGGAAGAGACGTGGTGGTGGGGGTACTGTTTTGAATGTGAAGCACAGGGGAGTGACTGGGGCACAGTGTGTGCTGGGGGCAGACAGAGAGGGGCTTGGAGGTGATCCAGGACTAGGAGGGGAACTAAGAGAAACAGGCAGTTGGGAGGGATTTTGGACATAGTGAGGTCTGAAGGAGATTGGGGGAGATGTAGACTTAGACTTGGAGGACGTTACAGAGAATGTGAGGGGAGGGAGGATGTGAAGAACTAAGTGTGACTAGAGGTAGCTGGAAGGCAGTAGAGGTCAGGGCTGGGGAGAGTCAGTTGTGCACACCTCTGTCCTCTATAGCACCCCATGAAGACCCTAATACAGCACTGAACACATTGGGTACTGGATGCTGTGTCACTTGCCTTCCGTAATCTGTGAGCTCCTCTCTCAGCCCTGGGCCATGGTTGGGAGAAGTGTGCAATGACTGAGCCTCCATCCCCATGGGAGAAACTCTCTGTAAACAAGGAATGAGCTGGGAGGCAGTACCCCCACCCCCCGCCCAGTCTTTAGGAGGTACCTGCTCATCTTTCCGCAAGACAGTCTCTACCACATCACCAAGCTATGCTGTTAAAGCACCAGAAGACCACTAGTTCTGATTCAGATTCCCCCCAGCATTCTTCTCCATGGCACCTGTTCTCACTGGGTAGAACCCAGGTGTGAAACTGGAGGTCTTTACCTGAATTTTCTCTTGAACTTAAGGTCTCATTAGGTTCTCTGCCTGGGCTCTGTCCTGGGGTGAAGGTGAAGATCATTTGCTAAAAGTTAGGAGCTAGGTTGAAAGAGAAATGTAAAGTGAATTCACCTAATAGGGACATTTGGAGGAAAAAGTGTCTGTGATTCTCTTATGAACTGCTGCATGTGACTTGTGTGACCTTGTGTAAGCCGTTTGATCTGTCTGAGCCTGAGTTTCTACATCTTCAAAATGGGGATCAAATAGCTATCTTGTAGAGCTGTTGTAATAGGTAAATGTGTTATGGTACATTTAATGTTTATTTTTTCTATTTAGGTTCTAATACTGTTTCAATTGATTTTTCTGTCTGGTTTAAGGTTGGAATTTAACTTAATTTTTTCCTGAATGAATAGAAAATTGTACAAAGCACCTTTTATTGAACAACCCCCTCTTGCCTTCATCAATGAGAAATTCCATATTTACCATACACTGAATTCTGATCTGTCCATTTCTGGGCACTCAAATTGTGTTCTGTTAATCCATTGGCCTACTCCTGGGCTAGTTTCTTACTGTTTTAGTCTTGCGGTTTCATAATCTGTTGTGATGAGTGGTCCTCTATCATTGTTCTCCTATTACGAGATTTTCTTGGGCTGTTCTTAGGCGTATGTTTTTCCCCCCTAGATGAAGTTTCTTATCGAGTTACTAAATTTTTGATTTGGAAAGTACAGTTTTTAAAAAAATGATCTAGCTGCTTTTTAAATGTAACACCATTTTTACTTGAAAGAACAATGACAGATAAATGATGGTTATTCAGATATGGATATTTCCTGAGAATGAATGAAGTGAGTCTATAACTTTAAGGAAGGCAACTGACAGTATTGCAGACGCTCAAGTTCATCCTCCAGGAGAAAATTAGAGTTTCAAAAAACGTGTATGTGCCACCCACCATGAGCTCAACAGCTTCCCAATTCTTAAAGACATTTCTGATGAAATGGGTGATATTAACTGATGCAATTTTAAAAATGTTGCATAATGAAATGCGTCACCTTTTGGAAGTTCTGCAAAGCTCAGTGAACCAATAATTTCCAAATGACCAATGCACGATGTTGCAAAAGCATGCAAGTAAAAGACCCATCAAACTATATGAATTGCCAATGTATTTTAATGTAGCAGAATATGAAAAGTTCGTTGATAGGATTTCATAGTCTGTATTGCAAATAACGCTTAAGAAAATAAGCGCTTGTCAAGTTTGGGGATTGTTTCAAAGAAGAATATCCATAATTATCTGAAAACATTGTTACAATACTATTCTCTTTTCAGTTACACATCTGTGTGAGGCTGGACTTTCCGTATTACTTCAACCAAAACAACACATCACAGAAGACTGAATGCAAAAGCAGGTAAGAGAATCCATCTCTTTTCTATTAAGTCATATGTTAAAAAGATTTGCAAAAAATATGCAAATGTTTTGCAAGAATGCAAAACATTCTTGCTAAATGTTTTGGTTTGGAACAAACTATTCTATATATTTATTTGTTTTATTATTTTATTCTTCATAAAGATATTTTATTATATTACCATGTAATGAATTAGTTATTTTTAAGTGAACAAATAGATTAAAATTAAAAAAAAATTCTACTTTAATTTCTAATGTGGTAAAATTTGCTACTTGTAATACACACAAACAGATTTCTCTAAGACTGTAAAGGGATCCTGAGGTCAAAGTTTGAGAACTACTGGTCGAGGCTATGCTGCTGTCCACCAGGCCATGAGCTGCAGATGGCATCGCTAAAAATATGGAAACAGCCTAGGTCCCTGAAAAGATCCCTACAACTCACATTGGATTGTTATGTAAATGAGAAATAAACCTTCACTGTGTTAAGCCCCTTAGGTTTGGTAGTATAGCCTAGCCTAAGCTGCCTAACGCACACACTCAGATCTGCGCTTTAGGGAGATGATTTCGGAGGTGGTGTGAAGGATTGGTTTGGGATGGAGATGAGGATTCAGGATGAAACTGAAAACAGGGAAATGAATTGTGAAGTCATTTCAGTGGTCCAGTCCAAGGTCTGAACTGAGGCTATGGTAGAAGGCTACAGAGAGGGAAGAACAGCTATAAGATGCATCAAAGACAGAATTAGTTGTATTTGGTTAGCAGTTGTGGGGAGGTAGGAGGAGAAGGCAGAGAAGTCTTAAGACGTTGAATTTTGGTCCCAGTGGAAATAGTGAAATTATTTATGAGATCAGTAACTCAGTATGCCTAGAAGAAATTTTATGTGTTTTGAAGGGAAAGGAAATGATGATTTCCATTTTGAACACCTGAGTTTGTGTTGCCTGTGGGCCATGCAGAGATAAGAATAACAAACACTTAGGTGGTTCTTACTATGTGCTATGCATTATTTTAGGCACCAGACATACTAACTCATTTAACATACACAACAATCTTAAGGAGGTACTCATATCCTCCCTACTTTATAGTCATGGGAGACTGAGGCATGGGAGTGAAGTGATTCATCCAAGTGATGTGATCACCCAGCTAGTAAGTGACAGACTGGTGATTGACACCCAAGCACTTGGGTCTTAGACATTATTGTGTTATTTAGACATTATGTTATTCTGTCTCCTTATGTTATTCTATCATTACGTTATTCTATCTCTTGATGCTCAGTAGCTAGTTAATAATCTGAGTCGTGGGTTCAAAGAGAGTTCTGGGTTGTTCCAAACATTAGATTGTGTATTTGTAAATTCCATCAGAAAGTCACTTATGTCAGCAAGGCTAATACTTTCCACTTTCCCTCTGTCTGGCCACGAGCAGCAGGATTGAGTTAACTACGCTAAACAGTCCTAGCCTGATGGCCCATCTGAAGGTATGGCAACTCCTATTAGATTTCCCCACTTCCCAGAAGGAGAACCCAGCCTATCACAAGCTGGCTCAGAGGACCATGCCTTTAAAACAAACAGGGGAATGTCTGTGAAAGAATGGGGGTAGCCACCAGGGTTTTCCAAGAACTGCAAGGATTCATCTTTGCTGAGTTGTCTTCTAGACTCTGGATGAATGAGTGCCCTGCACTGCACACCTCCAGGGGGCATCATTCACATCTTATTCTGTTTGAATGGTGAGCTCTGGAGTTGCTTTGTGTACCGACATACCTCACTCTTACCATTAGCATCAGTTTCCCATTTTCCTGTGGACCGATTTTTGAGTAACTATGTTAATATTTGGCATCCGTTCTTGTGTTAAACTGACAATGATTAGGTCCTCAAGTCTGCTCTTACCTTATCAAACAAGATTTGGAATCTAATTTATGCTTATATCAAATCATAGCATTTTGGCTTTTCCACTCCCATTCCATGTTTCCTGCTTGTAATGTAGGTGCCTCAGTGTCTGAGTGAGGAAAGAAAAGAAAGCTCTCAGTACAGCCCAGGAAACTCTACCTAATACTCTGTGATATTCTGTGATAATATTCTTTTCTCTATATGAGAAAAGAATCTGAAAAAGAATGAATATGTGTATATATATATAACTGAATCACTTTACTGTACACCTGAAACTAACACAACATTGTAAATCAACTATAGTCCAATAAAATTAAGAAAAGAGATATCTAAGAAAACAATAAGTTATCCAAAAAAAAAAAGCTCTCAAATTTTCACATTCTCTGTGGGGCAGGGGGCAGGGAGGGAGGGGTCCTGATGGACATCTGCCCTCTCCATTTAGGAGACCTTATAGGGGAGGTAAAAAGAACATCCCAGGACTTTAGTCATCTCAAGTTCCCTGCAACCCCATCCTGAGGAGCCTCTGTTAGAGCTAGGATAAAATCCACAAGAGATTTGTTTCAAGATGTACTGACAGTTTCCTCGATTTATAGCCTAAGTCAACCGAGAACCGTCAGCTCTTTCAAGGTAAGTGTACAATGGGCAGATGTGAAGTGCCAGGATGCCTCATTGAAACGAAAGCTTTATTTCTTTGATTCAGGTCCATATGTGTAGCATGCTTCCTACGTTCTAGTCACTTTCATACAATTTTTTGAAGTCATTATTTGTATGCCAGATGTCAACTGCCTGGGTGTTCCTACAACCTTCAGCACACTGGGTTTACCTCGTCCTCTGAAGTGTAAATAAAATTGGTGTTGGCCTTGTAAACACCAGAGTTCCCTGGGGAGAGGAATGACAGCCTCTCTTTATAGAGGTGTGGGCAGGATGAAGGAGCCAACAAGAGTTGGTGAAACACACAGGAATAGCAACAGTGGGGAGCCATTACCACTGTGGGGGAGGGATGAAGGGAGAAGCAGTGTTACTGGAACCTGAAAGCCCTACATGTGGGATGGGGCCAGCCAGCCAGGAGTGGTGGTGGTAGGTGGGCTGAACCAGAGCCTAGCAGGGGGCCAGGTGTAAATAGCCCCCTGCTCTGTCTCCTCTCACTCTCTGAGCTCTTGCTGTCACCTCCCACTGGCTGCTTCTATCCAACAGGTAAGGGATACCTGGGGATTCAATCTGCAGACGTCATTACTCCCTAAATACAGAGTAGTGCAGTGAAGAGTGTAGAATGGGACTGGCACCAATTTAAACCCCACATATGGTAGAAAACCCATTTTTTTCTAGAAGTTCTTAGGGGGACTTATGCTAGAAGCAGGAAAGGAGAACCAGAAGAAACTAGGTTACACTGTCGTAAACAACCAACCTCTACATCTTACCATGGCTTGCCATTGTATCGTTGCCATGCTGGGCTCAGCTCCATGCGGTCTCTCAGGGGCCCAAGCTAATGGTGGTCTGCCTTCTGGTAGGTTCTAAGGGGAACAGGAAGTCTTCTCAGTGCTGAGGGTGAAAGAGAATTGTGCATGTGCTTTTCACTGCTTCATTGTGAAAATGACAAACATCACCTCCACTCACATTTTATTGGTCGTCTCTTATTTTCTAATATCCGTTCCCTACCCTACTTGAAATCCCTTCCTCTCTCCTTTGAATTTCTCCCTTCTTCCCATTAGCTTACTTGATGCTAAAATCCTGTTCATTTCTTATTAAAAAATTTAGTTATCTCTTTTTTACTTACCCCAGATGAACCTGGTTTGGTTTAGAATGTCTCATTTTATAAGCCAAACTATCTACTGAAATATGTTCTTATGAAAAGATAGACCAGTTCCCTTCTCAGAGGAGTTTGGAGGTCACCTTTTAAGGAGACTCATTTTTGTTCCTTCACATATAATTTCTCCATTAAAAAAAGACAACTGGGAGTCAGAGAAGGGGAGTGAATTACTTATGGTCATACAGGATTTGACTGATTTCCTATCTCTGCGTCCATAGCTCTTTTCTTTATCCTGTACCATCTCCCTCTCTGTATTCTCTTCTCGGAAAAACCACCCTTAGCTTAATACCATCTGCCTGGTTTTTCTTTAATCTTGTGCAGTTGAGCTCTGCATATAAAGAAGCCAACACCTTGGTGAGAATCATTAATTTTCAGAAGCTTTTATTTCAGTGACTCCAAAGATAATTGCTAAAAATAGGTGCACTCCCTGCAAGACACAGTTAAAATCAACTCATTTTGTGGTCAGGGTTCCCAGAGGAGTGAAGATGTGCAGAGAATGCAAGTGTTTCAGCAGCCGTGACAAATCTCCCCCACGGATGGGCGTGCAATAAATAATGATTTCTCAGAGGCAGCCTTTGGTGCTCGGAGTTGGGGTGGGTGGGTAGAGATGCCTGGAGATGTCCAGATAGGCTTAGGTTTTTCCAAAAGGGAACATGCATCATTTCCCATGAATGCAGGAGTGCAGTGGGAGAAAGGTTACTGGGGACCTCACACCTGGGATTATTGGTATTTCAGAACTCCACAAATATCTTCTCTGTGTGTGAAACCTTCAATTAATGTTGGTAATACTCTTTAGCATCTGAAGCAGACCTCCCTACTAGTGTAAGTTCAAGGTCTAAAAGAAATTAGCAGCCAGTCCTATTTTCTCTACTCCCCACTTTGGCCCAGCGAGGAAGGTAGTTCTGTTAACTCTTCTGCTTTTTAATAAGTGTGGGAGGAAGCTTATGCACTTGGGCAAGACTTGGCTTACCTCCTTGTTCTGTGTACCAGTGGGCATGCTTCCATCCTTCCTTCTCTCTGTCTGTGGTTTTCCTCCTTCCATCTCTCCCCCCACTCTCTTTCTCCTTCTCTATGTCTCTCCCTGCTTCTCTCTATCTCTCCTCCTTCCTCTTTTGGACCTGCCTTCTCCCAGGTACAACAAGGGTTGGCATGTCTTTCTCTCTCTTTTATTTTTTTTGTTTAATAACATTGGAATTTTATTATTAAACATATTTAAACATTTGACATTTCAGAAGAGTGATATTTAGTCTTCCTGTAGCTGCTGGATCGTTCTAGCAGTCACTGAAACACACGTTTCTCAGTTCTTCAAGTGAGAAAGGT